GATTGTGTCAGGGTTTATTACACCTGGATTCAGTTGCTGTGTGCGACCCCCAATCACAGCAGATGGCCCCGCCCCTCCCTGAGCCTGGTTCTGCTGGAGGTTTCTTCCTGTTAAAAGGGAGTTTTTCCTTCCCACTGTCGCCACAGTGCTTGCTCATAGGGGGTCATATCATTATTGGGGTTTTCTCTGTGTGTATTATTGTACAATATAAAGTGCCTTGAGGTGATGATTTGTATAAATAAAACTGATTTGACTCTGTGTGTTTATGAGACTCGCTGACAGATGTGGGCGAGGTATCATCATTTCGTGTGTGCCACATTGTTGTTACAGAGTCCCTTTTTCCTGTTATTCAGTTTTTCTGGCTTTGTGCTTGGACCATATTTATGACTGTTGATTTTAGGAGAGAAAATAAAAGAAGAGATGAGAGGTAACCTGATTCACGATGTGGGAGAGATCTTAGACAGGAAATTTCATTTTGGACTGCGGTGAAAACCTGGACGAAGTGCAGCCCTGCAGAGTCCCCGGAGCCTTCAGACGTCAACAGGTTGACACTACACACACTTACTCAGAGATAAAAAATATCTAGCACTCTGACAGCTTCCAAATATGCACTCAGAAATCTTTAAAGTCGTTGACATACAGACACTTGCCCAAACATTTACTCCCTGGCACGCTCACAGGCACAAATGAGGAGAGGTTGATGGACACAGTGCTGCTGATCCCTCTTTGGTGGCTTTTAGAAAAGCAGTTTCAGAGCGTTAATCAGAGGGAATCAAAAAATCTGGGGAGAGCGCTGCCCTGGGCCCTTGCAGGCAGGACTAGCTGAGTGTGTGAACAGTTTGTGTGATTTTCATTTGTTCCCAGCAGACCTGGCAGAGCTGAACTTGATTCCTGGGATCTAATTTCTTTGGAGGAGGGCTTTGAAAAAACATGGATATTGCTGATATTAGAAAGAGGAAAAAGCCAAGGAGCTGATCTACATCATTCACCTCCCAGGAAAATATGCCTTCCACTCCAGGTCCTGGGAAAACAGATTGGGGAGATGTGCTGTTTTGATGAAAAACCAGGAGTGAAAATTAGAAATAAATATTGAAAGAATAATATTTATAAAGTACAACGAACAAGAAAGAGAAGGACACGATTAATGTGCGAAAGGAAAAAAGTACAGAGCAGACGTGAATGGAAAAGAAAAGCCTAAAAATAAAGAGGTGGCAAAATAAGAGACGTGACGCTGCAGAGCGATGGTGCTGACGAAAACACAAATTGAGAAAGCAATGGAGTGAAAGACATGAATTCATGAAATCATTCGTCAGAATAAGTGAACTAGAAAGAGAGAATAGCAGAGGTGCAGCGTGTTGGCGAGGTGTGGACATTGCTTGTCGACAAGACCGCCGACAAGTTCTTCCCTCGACGCAGAGCAGGGATCGCCTTACCCTCGGCTGGCTTCACAGCTCTGCAGAAACACTGTTTATAAGGATGCGGTGATGTTTTAACCAGCAGGTCGGGTAAAAAGATCAGGACTGTGGAACGTGTAACAGTTACTAAATAGCAGTAAATGATTCATCATGGCCACACTGTTGAAATGTAGCATCAGTGACTTCTTATACTTAAGACATCTGTGTTGTTACCTGCAGGACTAACTGACTCAGGAAACGTAGAGAGAGAAATGCAAACATGCTAACGTCATAGCTCAGTGTTGCGTTACAGTGTTTCCTCTGTTGTGATAAAAGTTACACAATTTATTTATTATAAATCAGAAGGAGGGAAACGTGTGCTCACTGTTCTGCTGCACTTTAATCATTTCATGTCTTTAAAAGATGTTTTCAAAGACAAACGTTCAGTCCACGCGATCTCTTTGCTGAACACACTGAGCACACACTTGGTTTCTTTCCCCACATTTACAATCAAACGCTGAAATCCTGTAAAGACACAGACTGTCTGTCACACTGATTTTCCGTCTCCATGAAGGATCAGGCTGAACAGTAAACTTCAGGTCTGGAAATCAAAGCCGATGTGGGGAAAACTGTGAGCTGGTGAAAATGTGTTAACTTTCAGTGCTGCTCTCTTCAAGGCGCAGGCCTTTGTTGTGGCTTTACACACTGAAGTAAACTTCTCATCTGCGTTTGAGGTGTTGGTGGCGTTTGGAGCCGCTGTAATATTTGCAGTTTACTGACAAATATTATGTCTTGCTGCGTTATTTGTAACAGCACACGATCAAAGAATCTGGACTATATTTTTCTGATGACATTTCTAGTTTACCGATCACTCAAACAATGTTCTGAACATGATTGCTATTCCCTCCAAAAATCCAAGATATCCGATCCAAGATGATATTTCTTTCCATCGAGTCTTTGGTGCAAACGGTCTGACCTATTCTAGCATCTTTGAACTTTTTCTTATTTCATTTTTATCTTAATTTATTTAACTGTTTTAAAGTTAAATAAGTTAAGATAAAACATTTTTAAAATCTTTTCTTCAAAACATTTTACAGTCTATTTAATTCATTCATTAAACACACAAACTAATGGCTGAACATCTGGATTTAGGAGCTCAGGAGTTCATACAGTCCAGACACTTTAACACCTGCTCCACAGCTGGCAGCTGTAAGGAAACAAATATTTATGGCAAATGCATCAATGAGAGAAATGCCAAAGCATCAGTGCATGGTAATGACTCTTTGTAAACTAAATAATAAACAATGGTAAGTGTCTTAGATATATTTGTACCCCCCAAATGTCACTTTATCGTGACTCCAAGTTGTGTTGTGCAATCAAATGTTCCTTCATCACAGGCAGGTGGTTCTCTGAGGTGGAAACACTGGCACGGTTGGTGCTGTGAACAAACCAGCAACAAGTCTGTCAGTTTCCCCAAAACTGAGTCTCGATGATGTCATTGGTAACTTCTTGGAAACCCAGTCGACTGTTTGGCAGGCGGCAAAGGTGTCATGGATCAGCAGAGCCTAGTTTCACAACACTGTGTCAGTCATAAAGAAGAACGAGCGGAGGGGAAGTCCAGAAGGTTTGAGCTCGTGTGGCGCGGTGCTGTGGATAAGCTGAAGTTATTTTTCCCGCCAACTGAAGGATTCTCAGACTTCCAAAGATTTTCCTTTAGCATCCTCTGCTCCCGTCCTTTAAAAAAGAACTAAACTAAAATCCACTAAAAAAAAAGACATTTTTCAGTCATATGCAAAAGCTGAAAAATGTTTAGGAATCAAGACTTAGAGTTAAAAACTGCTGCTGAACATCTTAGCTGCTGCCTGACTGCTCAGAGTAAATCATGTTTGCAAACCGTGACTCTGAGCGCTGGGACAGACGATACAGCGACATTACCACGTGACTGCAGTGCGCTTTCATCACCTGACAGATTCCAGGGGACCGGACCGGTTTCGGTTTCAGTGGAAAGACACAGCACGAAAAAGGCAAGACGGGTGAGAGTGGCAGGTTACAGAGGTCGTACACTAGAGGGACCCGAGCAATGAGAAGGGTGACAGTTACTCACTCTTTCCCTCACCCTCTCTCACACACACACTGAAATCTGTCATGGAAAAAGAACTCAATACCTTTAGGCCTCCGGAGATGTTAGAAAACATCTGAGTGACTGTATGCGTGTGGTGTGTCGCTGCTCTGAGCTGAGATCACTGATTTACCTTTATTTTGCTGATTGGAGGACAGGAAACATAAATATAGACTGAACATTTACCTGCTTCCCTACGCGACTTTGATTTGGGAAAACAAAATCCCCACATCCCCCTTTCAGGCTGCTTGTTCTCAGAAACTCTTGTGTCAGAAGAAATATAAATATTTGGCACATGATGTAAAACGCATCGGCAGCCGTGTGATTATCGTCTCTGTAATAAAGGAGTTTTGATGGGGTTTACTTCCCACATGAGTTTTTTCACTGAGTGGTCAGTGGTGAGCTCAGCTGCGTGGATCCGTGTGCGAATTTGTGTAGGGTGTGTCCTGGGAAGGCAATGCAAAGAGCTAAGATTGGATTGGTTTTTTAGACCACAGGCTTTGGTGTTGCTAAAACCAACACCTCCCACTGACATCTATCATACTGCAGGGAGTGAGCAAATGAGCGAGGGAGGGAGAGAGCGCGTGCACGTGGAAAGAGAGTGAAGTGGTTTTAAGTCTTAGTGCGTGTTCAGTAAGTAGACAGAAATCCAGTCACCTTTCCATTCAACTTCATTACCACTGCAAGTGTGTGTCAGCACATGTCCATGCTTGTGTGGTGAAAGCGTTTGTTTGCATGCGTCTGTATAGCTTTCCTGTCTGTCCTCCGCCCCTCGTTTAGATTCTGTTCAGCACTGACCCATGTGCCCTTGGTAAACAGCTTTTTGCCCTGGCTTGTAGACAAGGGCTTATGTGTTTGCATAAAGGTGTGTATGAATTTTTGCATCCCGGAATTCAGCCTTTAAACCACAACGGCCGCTCTGCATGACAAGTAAACCTCTCTCATAGTAATCCCGAGTCAAAGTTTACCGGAAGATTCCCCTTCGTTCTGATTGGTCTATACATGCAAACCATACATGGATCAATGTTTCCCCTGTAATGCTGTAAACCAGCACCAGGTACCTTAAATCTCCTGGTGCTATACTACAAAGCTCATAAAGCTGTGCTGTGGGCATCTTCTCTCCCAGTTTTCTGCCTCTCTTCTTTCAAACTCGATTCCCTTTAATACCAGGAGGACTGGAGGAAGACATGTGAGCAGAAAGGCGAAAGTATGAAGCCACAGAAAGAGAATGAAGTGGAACATTTTGGGGAGAAGGCAGAAAGAAATTTGGTAAAATGAAAGAAATGGTGAGAGTGGGAAAGATATGTTGGAGGTAAGAGATGGTCAGAGAGAGAGGAGATGAAATTGCTCTTTAATCAGTGAGGGGCTATATGGAGGCGGGCCGAGGTGCCTACTGTAATCCGATACACGCGCACGCGCACTGCGTGCACGCGCACCAAGGCAGGGGACTGAGTGAGCGGTCCTGCTCGCTGCCACAAACCCGGCGGAGAGTGGAGGGAAAGGAGCGCGTGCTACCGGGAGAGAGAGAGAGGGAACAGGGCAGAGCGTCTGAGCGCAGACACGCACAGTTGTGGGAGGACAGCGGAGAGGCACCACGTTTCTTTCTGCCTACCAGCTTTACGCACGCAGATCGAGCTGCTCGGAGATCCTGCGTTGTCTTTTGCGCATGAACGGACCATTACCGGGAAACTAGATCGGAACACATTTAATTTCCTTACCAAGAAAATGCGCCTGAAGATATTTGCATAAAACAATTGGAAATATTTTTAATCCAAGGAGGAAAGACGCGAGTTACTTTTCCCCGTTTCCGTCGCAGTTAGCGCTCTCTGATGATCTTTTTGGTTTCTAGTTAATTTAAAACGCACAATTTTCTTTATTTACTCTGCTGATCTGTTTCCCTGCGCTGCCGACTGTGCGCACAGCAATGGATTGTAAACCGTGTTTAGAGTTCAAATTGCGTTTCTAGACAAGTTGCTCTGGTTGAGGAGAAGTGGCGGCACGCACTCACACTGCATGAACTGTTTATTTTCTCCGGCGTGTTATTCTTAGAGAGTCGGGTGAACGCTGTCCGGCTTTTGGATTTTGGACACAACCGTGTTGCACGTTAGAAAAACAGATAACTGTGGAAACGGTCAGGGAAGTGCGACTTGGAGCCGTGTGTCAGCAAATAAAACCACACAGGAGGAGAAGACGTGTTTTATTCTGAGGGAGAAAGATGGATTTATTCGTTTGGCTCTGTGGATGTATTTTGGCTCTTCTGTTACCTTCAGCGGTAAAAGCCGGGGAAGGAGGTAAGTTTGATGCTGTTGCTGTCCGCCTAAATCCAAGCGTTACACAAGGTGTAAAAAGAGAAAATAAGAGCAGTTACACATCACAAAACGAATAAAAGTTGTTTTCTTTCAGTGCAGTGAAAGTAAATTCAGGGAAAGCATCATTGCGCAATTGGTGACTACGGGCTCGAGCCAAATCTCCGCTCCGTTCCAAGTAATGCGCTGAAACGGCGCACTGCTGAGGGACGTTGATTACTTTCATCACATTTAGGAGACAGACCCGCGCTGCTGGATGGCCTGTGAGCCAGCTCTCTCGGTCCGGTGCAGGGACAAACGTTAGGAAGTACGAACGGGCAACAGAAATTATTTTGTCACGATGACTTTACAGATGAAGTACCTTCGTCACCAGCCGTGTTTTTTTAAAAAAAAATTTAATCCAGGGCTGATTTCGAAGGGATGCTGGTTTAATCAGCGTTGATTTTATCGTCTTAAAAACATCAGTAACGACGTTCAGTAATAAAAAGATGACAGATCGAAATCTTCTGTAAATTCCTGTCGGGAGTAATTTTGTTGTCAGCAGTTCTTCTTCCAGCACGTTTCCATCTCTTGCGCTCTTCTAAAATTCCTCGAAACTGTTTTTACTAAAAGGAAAAAAGCTGAACGCATTTCTTTACGGTGACTTCCTGTCATTCCGGGAGCGCGGAGAGGTGGCGGCCGGTGTGACGGGACTGCTGCCTCCGTGTACCGGAGGTCAGGTCCGGCCCGGCGCTCCACGGAGGCTCGCGTTCGCTCCCGAGCCCGTGTGAGCGACGGGATTTGCGGCTGTGTAACCCGACCACGAGTTCACCTTCGAGTGCATAAGCGGGAATATGATGTGAGAAGGGAACACGCATTTGCTTTTTACTCTCTGTTAAATGTGGAGAGGCAGAATCTATCGCTGTGTGCGTTTTCGTCTCCAGACAACCTTTACGCACGAGGAGGATAGCCACAAAAATCTTTTTCCATATGTGAACTTGATGCACAGACGACGTTTTAAGTCTCTTTGGTTACAACGAACCTACTTGTCACCACATAAAACACTGGTTACCCAAAGTTTCTGTTACATCGTCACAGGCAGGGGTGTATGGGGAGTTCGACTCAGCTGATGGACACTCAGGACTCCGAGTGGTCTGACTCAGTTTACGTAAATTTAAGAGCTTAGCTACTGCGGCCTTTACCAGGAGACTGATGACTTTTGTTTTCGCTGCACACACTGATTGTTAGCACTGGTTTCTCATTGCTGCCTGTGCAAAGACCTGAATACTTGGAGATATACTTCTAGTCTCTCCTCGAGTTTCACTTTCTGCTTTGTGGTGAATGCATATGTGTAAATCTAGAGAGAGAGAGAGAGAGAGAACCGAAAGGGGGTGGTTGCAGGGAGGTTGGTGGCATTCGAGGTTTTACTGCCTTATTCCGGAGGGCTTTTGCAGATCTCATGACTTGGATTGAGTGGCCCTGATTGCCAAATGTTGCTTTGGAGAACCACAGAAGTACAGAAGGCACAGGGAGGACATTCTTTACATACAATTCACTTCTGATGTGAGAAACTGTACGGTGGAGCATCCTGCTATCTGTGGGCATTTTTACATTAGGTTAAATCTGAACTAGTAATTTAAGGCCTGTGTGAGGTGATGTGAATGTTCAGATTATTAATACTATAAATAATTAAAAACTGCTGACTTTGTGCAAAGCATGCAACGGTTCTGAGGCTTTCCTGTCCAGAAGAAAGAACAGCGGGTCATTTGATCAGCAGTTGTTTGTCTTAAAATTAGTCACATTTATATTCAACACCAAAGCAGGAAGTATGTGCTGCAGTCCAGCACAGGAAACATTCAGATGGAAACTCTGTGGCATTCAAGGAAGATGAATGAGGTGTTTAACTTCAATGCCACTGACTGGAGTTTGTTCTTTTTCCAGCTAAATGACGCTGACAGTGGGGTTAAATATGAGAACATGTTGATATTCTGTTCTTTTTTGACCTCTTACTTTATGTTTGCTGACAGCAGGTGAAGCCTGATTTTCCTGGGGACTACCCTCGAGCTCCCCTCGAGGTTTCCCTGCAGGTACACTGAGCATCTCTGGAACAAACACACACATTTTGAGCAGTAGGATATGCAGAATGGAGCTTTCTCAGCAGTTAACTTTTATAGATGCCTCTACTTTGTTCTCTCTGGAGAGATGAGCAAGGAAAGCATAGTGAGACTAAGAAGTGTATATATAGAGAGACGCGGGAGGGATGGAAGTACAGAGGGAGGAAGTAACAGAGACAGCAGAGACAGAAACAGGCAGAGGGAAGCAGCAAAAAGCAGTGAACGAAACGGAAGAATGATTTTTAGCCTCGCTGTTTGATCCTGTTTCTTCATTCCGTTTGATCACAGCTGTGCCTGGAAGGGAGATAAACGGACATAATTGGCCACTCAAGACCAGCTGTCTGCCTCCATAGTGTCTCTGCTGAAATATGGTGGATGATGAAACAGGATCACCATGATACTAAGTGTAAGAAGTGTGCTAGCGGTGGTGGTGAATTGCCCACAGGTACGCATTAAGGTTTGGTTTATGTGATTGTTTTTGATGGCTCCAACCGGCCTGGTGTGATTTTAAAAGTCTGAGCAGTGGGAAGAATTTCCGGAGGTGAAGTTAACAGCTCCATTTACATGCAGGGGGATAAATAAGAACGTCTGGCAGACTTAAAGGCTTACCGTCTAGCAGGTGCTTCACCATCCACGTGAAGATGTTTTAGTTTGGTCGCTGAACATGAAACAGCTTCTCCTGTACGTGCACCGTGTGCTGTGAGTGTGAGTGGGTCTGTGTTTCCCGGTGGGGTCAGCTCGTAGTAATTAAATGTTACATCAATTTGGGTCATAATGCTTTGTAAGCGTCAGTTGGCCACCAATAAAACAAATCATCCATGTCATTCACATAATGGGGTTATAGCTCAGAACCTAATGAACTGACTCGCTGCCACAAACAGTCATTCCACGTAATTACAAATCCAGGTTTTAACCTGAAACACTGCAGATATTAGAGTACGCAAATATGAATTCAACAGTATTTTCTATAATTGCACAGGCCTTTATAGAGCTGTGTAAAAACTCAAACAGCCTGCTTATCATTAAGAGCAATTAACGATCCTTAAATCAGCTTCCTGGTGAATTTGTGTGCATTCTCCATAATCTGTTTGTTTTGAGTTATTCTTTTCTGTCATATTTGTCGACTGATCCACTGATTCTGAGGGAAGGAAAACAGAAGATTATGTGTAACGTGCGAGCTTTCCCCAACATGAATTGGAAACTTTTCTCCCCATAAAGTACACGCAATAAATGGAGCAATAAAAAAAATGAAAGAGATGCATTGAGCAAGAAATCAGGAGAGTTTGGACGTGTGCAAGAGAGAAAATGAAAGGGAGAAAGTATTACGGGGCATTAGTGCAATAAGAGGAAGGCAGCAGAGTGTGAAGCAGTAGTTGAGTGGAGCCACCTGCAGTAAACTAACCCAGATTTATTCTTCTCTGAAACGCACAAGAGAGTTTCTGGGCAACGTACTGCACATTTTATTAATAAATATGTACTCCTATTATGATACACTGAAGGTGAAGGATTTAATTTTCTTCATGTGATCTTGATAAGTATAAAATGACATTATAATAAAGGGATGTTTGACACTGAATATGAAATGTTGCTTTACAGATGTCAGGGAACAGATCGGACTAAGCGTTGCGTTGGCCTGTGATGGTCAGGTTTATTAAAACATTTTATCAGATAGCTGAGTTTGCTGAGCTGGTGCAGGTGACACCTTAGAGCTGATTTCATTTTAATCATCTTGCAGGCAGCAGGTGTTTTCCACCAGGCCTCAGGATTAAGCGTTACACGTATTCATCAGGGACTCAGATCACCACGGCGGCTTTTTTTCCAGTTTTTTAAAAGAAACAAACAAACAAAAACAAATGCATTACATGCCACTGAGCCGTGCAGCTAGAAGAGAAACAAAAATCACATGCATCAAGCACGATGACATTAGTCTCTCAGTCATTAGAATAATGATAGCCTAAAAACAGAGTGGTTTTTCCATCGACATCAACAACCTAGCTGCAATGAGCGAATAAACATTAACCCAATTAACCTTTGGCACAGTCGCCCCTTCTCTTTCTCTCCTCTCATCTGTAAAAGGGAAAGGACAATTAGTGGGTCCAGCAGGATGTTCTAATTACAGTTATCATGCCATTAGTAAACTGTTAGTATTCTAGTGTCTTCATTGGCCACTGGTAATGACTGGAGTAATTAGAGAGGATGCTGGGAGCGAGTGGGTGTTCTTGTGTTTGCAGCCTTGTGAAGAACATTTGTCCTCAGAGGGAAAGGGAGATCATGGAAATCTTTCAAATGAGGATATTTGCCTGTTCCCACTTCTTTTAAAATCCTCGCACACAAAGAAAAACCTGTGTGTGTGTGTGTGTGTGTGTGTTTGTGAGAGAGTAAGCCAGGCCTTCTGTGTCTGCAGCAGTCCCTCCGGAGCGCTGTGGAACGAAGCCACAGGTTGTTTTCCTTTTTCTCTCCTCGTCACACCGAATCATCCTGTTGTTTTCTACTTTTCATGGCACTCCAGCTCTTCTTTAATAGTGCGCTCTGTGTCTTTCTCCACACCTCCCTCTGTCAGTGTTTTCCCTCACCCCGATTAAGAAACCTCCCTCACCTTCTTTTAGCCCCACTTTGCCACGGTGGAAAATCTCTTTACTGTTTCAGCCGCTCACTTTCTGTCTGGTCCCTGGAACTCTGTCAGTCTGTGTTTTCTCGTACTTTGGAGATCCATTCACACGACTCGCTAGAGACGCTCATTCATACGCTGCTTAAAAGGAGCTCTTTTCAGTGACTTAAAGGAATACGTCACATTTACGGCCCACCGATCAGCAAAAACATTCCTTACATAATCAATTTTTTTATATACAAGATACAGGATGATTGATAGCAGCCTTCACTACAATCATAATA